GTGTTTAGCCTGGAGCACCGCTCATCCAGGGAGGTGTCAGCTCTTACYGCTGCATTTGCTCTTTCCCTTCGGAGAGGCCTGTGTGCATGGCGAGCGGGCCGGTCCCTTATTGCCCCATGTCACCGGCCACGGGTTGGCACCGGGATGTGACCCAGGCTGGTGCTCACACCCGGGGGCAGCGCCCGGCACCTATGGGGACAGCGGGGTTGTGGGCAGCAGCGTTTGGCCCTGCCTGGGGGCTGGGGGACCTGGCACTCCRTACCCGAAGACAGAGAACAGCAAAGCCCATCACGGCCAACACGGAGTTAGCTGCATCTCTTACATTTATCTTAGCCTAAGAGGCCAAATGCATGATTACTTTTTATTATTTATTTATTATTTATATGTATCTATTATTTATTATCTTTTAAAATGCAGAATGTTTTATGCTATTTGACCTTGGAGCCAACAAAGGCCTTGGGCAGCAGCTGCTCGTTTTGGAACAAGGATGCTGGAGCAGCGCTGGAGCCTCGGCTGTCCTGGGCCGTGCAGACTCCTTGGACGTGTGCGCGGGGTTAGTGCATGGAGCCTCCTTTCCCACCGTGGGAAGCAGCACAGCAACCCCCGGCAGTGCTGAATGGATCAGGCAGGGGTGGTCGYGCTGCAGCAGCCCCGTGCGGATCCGCGGCTCGGTGCCTGTGCTGGGCGTCGCGGCACTGCCGTGCAGCATCGCCCGCCGCGGCCGCCAGCCCCTTGCGCATGATGGTTTATACACAGGCATATATATATACACACCTCCGCCCACCCCTGTATATACGTGTGCGAGYGCGTGCGTGTGCTCGTGGTATTTTTAGCTGCAGCGTAAGCCGATCCGTCCGCAGGCTTCCTGCTCGCTCTGCGCTCACCCGCCAGGCTAGAGCGGTGCTGCAACACGAGGCGAGGCGTCGGCACGCTTGTCCCGCGGGGTCGCAGCTCCAGCCGCGTTCCCGGAACAGCGCCGTGCAGGCGGGAGCTATAGTTAGGGCTGAGTTGCAGCAGCTGGGGCGACAAGGTGCCCGTGCACTGTGGGTGAGCTGGCTGCGGTGCACRATGCCCGTGGAGCAGCTCCCTGCCTGCTGCAGGCGCTGGGGAGCACCTTCCCTGGCTCACAACCCTCCGCAGCCGTCGGACGTGAGCACTACACGTGCATTTGCCCCTGTGGGTCTCTTTGTAGCCACTTTCCCCACGGCAGCGCTGGCACCGTCGCTCGGGGTGACCTTTGCTGCACGRGGCAATCACTGTGCCCAGTGTCTGTAGGGAGGTCACAGCAGGGTATCTCGAGAAAGAGGARTACTTTTGGTGAAAAAAGAAAAAATTGCAACATCTAAATATTGCCTTAAATGAGGCCTGCAATGGCAGGCAGAGATTTCTTACACCAAGCATCRCTGCAGTGAATAAAAGACATTGAAAACCAACTTATTTTCCTATTTTGCCAGGTGTGTGCGATTTGCCAGACACTGACAGCACAGCAATGGGCAGGGAGCAAAACAGGGAATGTATAGAGTTAAAGCGATGCCCCTTGCTCGTAAGTCACTTCCCMATGGCAGAAGCAACAAGATCCCTGCAGTCCTCCGCTTTGCTGGCCCCGYGGCAGGCGCCGCTCGGCCTGCTCGCTGCAGCAACGTCCCTTGGTGCTTGTGGGTGCCCTTGCCCGGGCTGCTGCCCCACRGAGCTGGGCTGCTTGCCCGGCTTCCCATTTCCCCTCGGGAAATGCAGCCTCCTGCTGTTTGCGGCGGACGGAAGCGCGTTTCTGCCCTCAGCCACGAGCAGAGGGGCACATGGATCCCTCCCGAGGTCGGATCCGTGCYGTGCCCAGGCACACGCTGTCCCCGCACGGGGCTGCAAGGGCTTGAGCGGCAGCTCCGGCGTCTCTTGGGATGTGCCRGCGCTTCCCGCTGGGGCTGCCAGGTGCTAAAAACAGGGAAGAGCCGCGGCTGCCACACGCGCTGCTTTGGGGCTAACCGGAGGCTTTCTATTCATTACAGTTACGCACAACCAGGGCGGTGCTTTTTTAATTACTGTTCAATTAAAGCAGCTATATAAACTGAGAAGCTTAAATATCAGGCAGCACTGCAGATAGTGCTGAGTAAAATGCCATTAGTGCTCACAAGAAAATTGAGTTTAGCCACATTAACATCACAGTGCAATAGAAAAATATTCATTTTTCACTTACGCACTTGAAATACACCACAGGGCACACTCACTAGGTGTCCACTTTCTTAGATTCACATGTTTTGTGCCTCTAGACTAGCTCAAAACTATTGTGCCAGTACAGTTAGACTCCAGCAATRATGCAGCAGGTGTTAGCAGGGTAAAACAGCATTATTTAATGAGCTTTATATGCATATATTGCAAAGCCAAGGGTCTTCGCAGTGGGTTTAACGGAGCTGTCGCRTGCAGGTCAGGCTCTGCGCTGCAGCTCCTGGCTGCTGGGCCTGGGTGAGCTGAGCACTGGGGACAGCAACGGTGATTTCAGCATCGATTTCCACACCAGTTATTCATCTGTTTGGTCTGGGTCAAGTAGGGAACAGAAATGGCGATGGGGCAAAACCGTTCCCAAGGCAAAACCATTCCCACCTGGCAGGACGGCATCTTTGCATGGAGCACCAGCGAGGAGAAGGGAGCCACGGAGCTGTGGGAAGCGGGCTGTGGGCAGGGAATCAGCATCTGCTTCCGTGCGGATCCTCGCAGACTGTTTTGGCAAGTCTCGGGCTCTTAAATAACTATTTACCTTGTCGCTCCCCCGGCCGCGGGCAATGACCTGCCTTCCTGCTCAGGCCACACGCGAGCGGCGCCACGAAAGCCCCAAGCGCCCGGAGCACCGGGATCCAGCGGCTCTGCAGCCGGCGGAGCAGCAAAATCCCTCGCCCAGGGGCCTGGCTCTCATCGGGGAGCCCAGGCAGAGCCCAGGGGCTGCCCGGGCACCGCGGGTCCCTTCCTGGCATGCTCACTGTATGGAAATAAACTGGGACGGAGCGGGGGACGACTGCGGGAGAGGGGTCACCACGCTGGGGACAGCGGCCTCGCTGAGGGCTCTGAGAAAACAGAGCAGTGTTAAAAATACAGATATAAATATATGGGAATTCCTGAGTGGGAAGCGACCAGGTGGTTGGGAGAGCGAGCGCCAAGATGCCACGGCCATGGCGCTCCTCGTGRCACCGCAGGGGAGAGGGTTTGGGATGTGGTTCGGGACGTGGTTCAGGATGCAGTTTGGAATGGGGTTCAGGGTGCGACTGGGGACACGGTTCGGGATGGGGTTCAGGACACTGCTGGCCACGTGGGCTGCAGGAAGGGGCACTTCATCCATGTGCCAAAGCGCCCAGCGATGCTCCCAAGGCCCGGTGACAGGCGGACGCCGCGGGGGCCGAGGAAGGCGACGTCCACCCCTCTGGGCAGGGTGGGCAGGCGGCACCCTGGGCTGCCCCGCGCTCCCGTCCCGGCACCAAGCGGTGCAAAACACTTTATCTCCCAACTGGAAGAGGAAATCTGCACAGCTTTGGGAAACTAACACAACGTCAAGCCCCCGGGAGCAAAAGGGCTGAAAAGATTTATGGCAAGGCTCCCTCGCGCCGGCCCTGCGCGGGACGCGCTTGCCGCGGGGAGGGCTCACATAAACACAGACATCCTCGCTGCGAGCCGGGCGCGCGCCGCGCAGATAAAAATAGGCTCTGCTCCCCTGGCACCAGGGATTAATTAGCAATTGACCCCGGCCGGGATTTTTTTGCTCCCTCTAAATTCTTCATCTTAGAAGGCTAAACGAGAGCTTAATGTTGTTTCAAGAAAGTCCGCTTGCTAAGCAGCGCTGCAGTTTATCTCCCGGCCGTATATGAGGAGTTTAATTTATCTCTGGGCTATGTATCAACAGTGACTAGTCAGGCTGGAACTGAGTTTATTATAAAGACATTYTGTTAGCTGACACAGTAGTACAACGATCTGAACATGCTGCTAATTTTTTCCATTAACGCCCAATTCTGCACACGAACACAAAGTACCATTTAAAATGTATTCAACAATACTTTACATTTAGTTTTCCAATAAATAAGTTCAATAAATACCAATTTTGCAGATTAAGAAGCTGTACGTGTGAATAAGAGCTGCTTTACAATGTAGTCAAAAATAACCAAAGTTATTCTTGTTTTTCGTCAATCACTGGAAATCGATAAGTAAAATATAAATATTTTAATCTTACTATGGAGACTGGAGGAGGGAGGATCTGTTAAAACCATCCTGAGGAAGGATCACACAGAACTTAACGTTGCACACTACGGTTAGAATTCAAAGCATGCCTTCACACTCTATTTAGCACACAACGTTTTCAAACACATTTCTTAAAAACAGGAGAAACGGTTAAGACCGGGCGCGCAGGGTTCCCGCGYGCCGGCCGCTGCGCCCCACACGGCTCAGGCGGACTAATTTTGGATGACCTATTCCACGTCGGGAGGAAGGAGATAGTGTAACAGGGGGGCAGCGCAGCCCGCCTCTATGGCAGCAGCTTGGTAGTGCAGCACTCGCTGTTTCACAGTACAGAAAATTCAATCTCGCTGATTGTATATATGTATATGTATGTATATACATATGTATATGTGTATGTATATACATATATATAAAATACATTTTAGTAAGTACTTCCTTGGAAACAACTATTACGCTATCCCTCAAGATTGCAAGCAACAGAAATACCCTTGTGTCGAATCAAAAGGAAGGTAACTGGAACATCTGCGGTTTTCCCTTGCCTAGAAGGTACCGTCATTTTCACCGTGCACGTTTCTAGTGTTTTACCCGTAAGGACTGGAGAGCGACGCGGCGCCCGCAGGCGGTGGGCACGGAGGCTGCAGGGGCCGGCGAGAGGCCGTCCTTGCGCGCAGCTCGCGGCGAGCGCGCCCCGCTCCGCACGTCCCTCTGCAGCCCCTTCCCGCGGCCCCCGCCGCCTGGGCACACGCGCTGGCACATCCACGTCTCCCCACGGAGCTGTGCGAGGGAGCAGGTGTCGCTGGGGCTGGGCACCCACCGGCTGTAACAGGCGCCAGGCTTTGAGGAACAACGTGACAAGCCGGCGGCGCGCACACCAGAACGCCCATCAGTTGTACAAAGTCAGTGCTCAGAACGGGCTGAATCATAAATGCCACCGAACCAGCCAGAATCACCAACGCGACGAGCAGGTGAAGGAATACCAAAACTTTAAAGGCGAGCTAAGCATCATGACTCCGGTTTGAACACCAGCTTGCTCCAGTGAGGGAGCAGAGGACAGAGCTAAGGGCAGATGCTGGGTCTGAGCATCAGATGAAAGGAGATTTTGTTCTTTCTGATTCTTAAACAGAGGATAACAAAGAAAAAAATTGAACGTGGGAGACTAAGTCATTAAAATAGGAGCAATTTGATGGCTTTCTTCCTTTAGGGGATTTACTTTGTTTTACTTTATCTGGCACAAGTCAGAAAGAAGTGAGAATATTATAAGCTCAAAAAGAAGACAAGCTGAGTTTTGACATGTTATTTTCCATTAAGATCATTTTTTCCCACTTGCTTGGTTAAGTTCTTTCCCTAGCATCAGAAAACGCAGCTTTCCCTAGAAGGGGTTTGCGAGACGGTGGCTGCTCCTCACCTCCTTGCAGCTCTACGGCGTCCCGGCCAGCCGTGCCGCGCCACGCGCCCAGGCCTGCCCTCACAAGCTCGTGTCTCCGTTCTGCTTGTACTCCGACAAGATGTTGAGAGTCATCTCCTCGCTTTTGGACTGCACGTGGGGCTCGCTTCTTCTGGAGGACTTCCTGGTGGCCCTGGAGAGCCGCCGGCGGAAGGTGTCACCCGCCAGGAAGTAGAGGATAGGGTCCACGCAGCTGTTGAGGCTGGCCAGCCCCCGCGTCACCTGGTAGGTGGCATAGACCTTGTCGTTGAAGGCACACATCTGCGGGGTCTGAAAATCCACCCTGGCCCTCAGGTTCAAGGTCTTCATCACGTGGAAGGGAAGGTAAGACACCGCAAAGACCGTCAGCACGATGATGACCAGGTAAATGGACTTCCTCCTCAGAGGAGAGTTGTCCAGGTCTTTGTAAATCAAAGCTTTCACGATGAGCCCATAGCAGCCGAGGATGAGGATGAAGGGGATGCAGAACATGAACACCGTGGTGCACATGCTGTAAACGAAGTAGCTCCGCAGGTAGTCATCAGTAGTGGTGTCGTAGCACGTGATGGTTTTATTCTTTCGTATCCCCGTCCCCGAGAAGAAGAGAATGGGGGAGATGACGGCCGCGACGATGACCCACACCAGGGCGCTGATGTAAACGGCGTTCTTCTTCTTCAGCCGGCCCAGCGACTTGAGGGGGTGCACCACCCCCGTGTACCTGTGCACGCTGATGCACGCCAGGAACAGGATGCTGCCGTAGAGGTTCACGTGGAAGATGAACCTCTGCAGCTTGCACATGACGTCGCCAAAGATCCAGTCCGTTTTGTTGAAGTAGTAGAAGATGAGAGCGGGCAGAGTCAAGACGTACAGGAAGTCGGCCAGCGCCAGGTTGAACATGTAGACGGAGATGCCACTCCAAGGCCGCATGTGGAACAGGAACATCCAGATGGCCACGCTGTTGCCCAGGAACCCTGTGATGAAGACGAGGATGTAGACGGTGGGCAGGTAGTAAAACTGGAAGCCAGTTTTGGTGAGGGAGCACTTGGTGGTGCCATTTCCTGCCCAGGCGCTGCTGGAGAGCAGGTTGGGCTCAGTTCCATTGAGCGCAGCCGAGAGGAGGACCTCGGTCATGATCTTCCCGCCACCTCACATTGGTCCGAGAGCGAAGCAGCGAGGGCTCTACAGCGACAGCAAAGCATCTACAAAGGAAAAAGCAATGGAGAGGAGCACGTGGTGGAGCAGCGGGCCGGGGAGGGGCCCC